CTTATATATTATACAATAAATTATATTATATATTGTACAATAAAATATATACATTTTATATATGGGGGGTTCCTAAAAAAAAATATCCAAGTTTAAGTTCCAACCCTTGAGTTGGAACTTTTTTTTTAAAACAAGATTGGAATTTGAACAGTTCTTTGAAGTTTTGTTTGAAGTTCAATTTTTTTATCAAACACGAAACTTGAACAGTATTAAGAAATTCTAAACTTCCAAAAAGACACTTCCTGTTATCAAATACGCCCTTAAAGAATCTCCTTTAATGTTCACTTGTGTGTTAACATATGTCAATCTCATAACACCAAAATGCAAGGCCCACAATTCTGCGTCATCAACAAAGTGCAAATTTTTATTATAGGTCCATAAAACCGTCCTAGCACAATCCCATAGGGAATCCCCATATCCAGCCACATGTCCATTCACTCGGACACTATCTTCAAAGTTTAGTTTGACCCAACTTGCACTTGGAGGAATCTCACCACTGGCTCTTATTACCTTCCCTTTCGTTACACTAAACGATCACTGAGATTAATACTAAAAAGTTCCTTTGGCACAAACATGTATGCTTATTGGGCATGTGCCCAAGATGTGATGGTCTTAAAGATAACCACTTGTAACAGGGCTTCTCAGTTGTGTGCGGAAGCTCTAAACCCGATGGGTTGACTTTTGGCAAATAAAGTATGAGAAATAAATCATAAAACATGTAACACAAGAACACAAATATTTACGTGGTTAACCCCAAAAGGGCTACATCCATGGGTGCGGTAAACTGAAATCCACTGTACCAATGAAAGTTACATCAGAGATTGTAGAACCAACATCGACAAAAACCCAAATCGAGCAAAACCTTTTTAAACCTGCTCTCCCAAACGGTACCATGCCAATCTCTCACTTCTATTCCATAAGTATCCATAAGTAGACCATTGTCTAGGAAGAGAACAACTTTAAGAGCAAACGAGACTTTATCTCACTAAAAGAGGAAATAATCCAGAATCTCCATGGGAACCGTTTTTCTACAAGGAATCAACATCTCACTTTGCAAGAGTCTTCAGGAGGCATCATCAATATTTCTCTTCAATAGGAAGCTCTCTTCTCTCTAAGAAGAAATTGTGTCTTATGCACCAGAGGCTTTATCTCCTCTCTCTCTAGATGAATTACTATTCCCATAGAGTGATCCAAATAGAGTACATCAATTCTCTGCACTTTCATCTCATATATGTAAGATTAGGAGTCTATAGTAAATAGGAAAC